AAAAAAGAACACCGATGAAAGTAGTGAGGAAAAATAAAAGAGGCTGGATGTTCAGTTCACAGGTAAGAGGCTCATCTGAGTAGATGAACCTGGCAAATTGGAGAGTTGTGAGGGGAAAATGTAAATGAGCAGTAACTAATAAAAATCAGATTTTAGAATAACAAGTCAATTAGTAAAAGAAAGCCACTGAAATTGGCTTCTATATATAAAGCCAACTTTAGATAATATAATAATATTAGTCTTTAATAAGGGGAGGAACTGTTATAAATGGAAATTCTGAAATGTGAAGCAATTTTATAAAACTATGGCCTGTATCATGAACTAAGGTACGTGTAACTGTCAGGACCATGAGTATTGTTTGAATTAATTAAGCCACTGGAAGTCTTCTAAAGTTCATGTGTCCTGAATCACAACCCTACATGCAGACTAAACAAATAAGAACATAAACCATTATATAAGTACCGCTCCAAGTCCTCAACTTCATTTTGAGGACATGTTCAAAAATCAAGCTCGCTTCTAGTTCCTCTGACCTTTCTTCTATACTGTAATGATTTGCCTGCTTTTTCTTGAACATTACAGGTCACTAACCCTAGTCAAGGAGGCTGTACAGAAAAAGTAGTTATAAAAGGCCAAAAGTGAAGCCCCCAAGTCAAAAAGTAAAAATAAACATTGCATCAGTTATTAACCATAAGTCAGGTGTGTGTGTGTGTGTGTGTATGGGGGTATATACTATCATCCTTGCCCTTTTATGACAGTTTCAGACCAGAGGAATATGCTTAACTCATTTCCCACATAGCCTCTGCCAGCTGCCTGGCTTTCTCCATTCTCCTTAGGAAGAAATCAAGTGAATAATCATAAATGATTTCTAATTTTTTAATTAAACAAAAAGTATTGCTTATGGCATTAAAAGTCAGGCTTCTCATATTCAACAAATGGTGCTGGCATAACTGGATATCAACATGAAGAAGAATGAAAATAGATCCATATCTATTGCCATGCACAAAACTCAAGTCCAAATGGATGAAAGACCTCAACATAAAACCAGGATCACTGAACCTCATAGAAGAGAAAGTGGGAAGTACACTTGAATGCATTGGCACAGGATACCACTTCCTAAATATAACCCCAGCAGCAGAGACAGTGAGAGAAACAATAATAATTCAATAAAAAATGGGGTACGGACCTAAACAGAGAACTCTCAACAGGGGAATCTAAAATAGCTGAAAGACACTTAAGGAAATGCTCAACATCCTTAGTCATCAGAGAAATGCAAATCAAAACAACTCTGAGATTCCATCTTACACCTGTAAGAATTGCCAAGATAAAAAACACTGATGACAACTTATGCTGGAGAGGTTGTGGGGTAAAGGGAACACTCCTGCATTGATGGTGGGAGTGTAAGCTGGTACAGCCCCTTTGGATATCAGTATGGCGATTTCTCAGAAAATTAGGAAACAAGCTACCTCAAGACCCAGTAATACCACTTTTGAGTATATACCCAAAGTATGCTCAATCGTATCACAAGGACATGTGCTCAACTATGTTCATAGCAGCATTGATTGTCATAGCCAGAACCTGGAAACAACCTAAATGCCCCTCGACCGAAGAATGGATAAGGAGTACTACACAGCAGAAAAAAATAACGACATCTTGAAATTTGCAGGCAAATGGATGGATCTAGAAAACATCATATTGAGTGAGGTAATGCAGACTCAGAAAGACAAATATCATGTGTATTCACTCATAAGTGGCTTTTAGACATAAAGCAAAGAAAATCAGCCTACAGTTCACAATCCCAGAGAACCTAGACAACAATGAGGACCCTAAGAGAGACATAAATGGATTTAATCTACATGGGAAGTAGAAAAAGGCAAGATCTCCTGAGTAAATTGGGAGCATGGGGACCATGGGAGATGGTAGAAGGGGAGGGGAGTAGAAGGGAGAGGAGTAGGGAAATATACAGCCCAATAAAAAACAATTTAAAAAAGGAAAAAGGTCAGGCTTCTTCTCTGTTTAATGTGAAGAACTAATATCCTTTCCCACTTGGCACTGGATTGAGTAAATTCTCCAAGTCCCCTTCCCCCCAACTCTCCCTCCCTCTCTCTGTCTCTTCCTGACCTTCCCTTCCTCCCTCAGCCCCTCTCTTATACCCCCCCCCCACACACACAAACACATGCACACTCACATGCACAGCACCTCCTTCTCCTTTCCAAAGTCCTAGATGTTCCAGACAACATAACAAACCACACAGTTGGGAATGATTCAGTTGTTTCCAGTCTCTATCCAAAAATGAGCAAAAATAGTTTCCATTTAATTTATAAACAGACTTTTCTGCACATTTCCTAAAAATTAAAGGGAAACTTTCAAAAAATATAGCCACTCTTTCTCCAAAAATTACTGATTAGTCACAGGCTACGGCATCTTTTTATAAATACACTTGTGTTTCCCCAGCCCTGGATACAGGGACTTGCGCTGCATGTTGCCAAATGCCTGATCAATCACCCCATGTTTTCAGCTATTTTCAAGTAGCCAGTGTTCTGGAGATACAGGCTTCCTCTTCCCAGTCTCTTTGTTATCTCAGCAGTACATATGGATGCCGGTATTTCTGCCTGGAATAGTTTTCAAGGCCAATGCCTGATTATGATTCTAACACCTGAAAATATTTGGCAGTGATTGCTCCATCTTCTCCATATCCCTCACTCTTCTTACAACCCACCCCCATCTTTTGCCATTGTGAAGCTAAACATTATGTAATTGTGTGCTTTTCCTGATGCTGTTAATCATGTATTGGGGCCTAGGGAATGCGTAGCTGTTGGAGCATAGAGTTAAGTTGAAGTCAGATTTCAGAGGGGAAACAACAGTGTAATAGCAGGCAACTGTGGGGGGAAAAAGATAGTTGACTCTGCCTGGAGACTGGTTTTCAGTTCCAGCCCAATTACTAAACAGGTCTGCTAAGCAAATAACTTTGTGTAACAGAGTCTCAGTTTATGAAACTTCAAAGAGGAAGGCTTTGACTAGACTAGGCACATATCCTAACAGTTTGTTGACTCTAAGAGCTGAAGCCAATAACCTTCCCCTCTGCAGCCCCACAAGAATGAAAGGATCACCAGCTAAAATCAAAAGATTGCCACTGACTTTTATATACATTAGGTATGTACTTGCTCTTTCTTATCTTAAAAATTTATTTTTCATTTTACATACCACCCCAGTCCCCCCTTCTTTCACCCCTCCCCCTCTTCCCCTCTTCCCTTCCACCTTCCCACCCTCTGTTTGCTCCTCAGAGGGGGATAACACTTTCCTTGAGGACTCAACAAAGTCTGGCATACCAAATTGAGACCACTTGCTCTTAACCAAAAAGCTGAGAAGAGGTTATGTATTGGAAACAAATAGTTATCAAAAGAGGCACAAACCAACACTCTAAATGTTGTGTGCAATAAATTACAGATAAGAAAATATATCCTATTCTGAGTACTGTTGCCCTTATTACTGACACCTATTTTAATATAAATTTGAATAATAGCTGACCAGATTATGTCAGAACTGCCATTGCCTTCATGCTCTCCTTACATATAACCAGGGCCTTTCTTCTAGCTTGTGTATGTGTGTAGGCTCTATTTCAGGGTGCCAATCTTACTATTCATTTAAACATTTGATTTTTGTTAGATTTCATTTTATTTTAAACTGAACACATTATAATTAAGTGTGTGATAATATAATAGTCATTGAAGGAAATAACAATTGTTATAGCAATGTGGAGATTATACATTTAATTTTAATAAGACAGCCATGTAGTGTACACTATAGGTATTAGTCCTGTGGACGTTCTTAGACATTACCAAATCTAAATGCTTTTAATTAAAAGTAATTTTATACAATATAGTCCAATCGTAGAAAAATATGGACGGCTTCACCTTATCCTTTCACGGGGACCATGTTAATCAATCTTCTCTTTTCACTCCAACTTTAGTATATATGTTGCCAAAGCCAGCTCTAGACATTCTGTTTTGTCTGTAATCTATGGTAAGTGGCTTCCTTCTTGAGAAAAATTACACCACATATCAGGAAGACAATAGGAATAGAACAGTTTGCGAGATATGGCATAGGTGAACGTGAAAGTGAGCTAAGAAGATTTTTAAAACTAGGTACTCAGATTTGCGAACAAATATTATTTAACATAACTTCACAAAACTGCCCACTGGACACACATCAAAGACTCGAAACTTATAAGATGGAGACTGCAAACGACTGTTTTAGCCTGGGCCGAAAATACCAAACGCGGGTACAAAATCGAATACTAGGTTGACAGTCATTGCTTTTCAGTTTACAATTTTAGTTCAGGCATTTGGTCACACCTCCTGACTTGGTGATACATTGGTATATATAAGAATTAGTTCTGTGTTAACTGATCAATGCCATTTTGTAATGCCAAGTATTGTTTCCTTTGCTGTACTGACTAGGCATTTTTGTTGTTGTTTTTACAGAGCTGGAAATAGAACTCAGGGACTTGGCGCTTGCTTGGCAAGCACTTTACCAAGCCACATCCCCAGCCCTTGCAAACATGTGTACTAATGTTCTCCACCAACCTCTTACCCACGTAGATACACTCAGACACTTCCACCCACACCTCCACAGAGACCCACCCAAACGTATGCAAATTAGCACACATGCTAATTGCAGAACACCTACACAGGTACTCGCATACTGAAAAAAAGAGAGGGAAAGATAATAGCAAAGATAAGTAATGTGCAATGTGTCCCAGAGGAGAGAGACTGACTGCTGTTACCCTGGTCAAGTGGGCAATGGGCTTACTCTCCCAGAATTACAAAGAAGCAGGCTTGTGCAAAAGATAGGTTCCAGTGAAAACTTGCAGGGAGTAGGTTATTCCCCATGAAAACATCTTGAAGTTGACGTACTTATCCTATAGAACAAGTGACCTAGGTTATTGGGGAACTTGCTAACTATACAACTACGTAGTAAATCAAAAAATGCATACTGCTTACCTTTAGTTTCTCAAACCGATCATATAGGGAAGCTACCTGATGGTCTCGGTGATGACCCACCAGTTTGCATAAGGCACAGATCAATTGGTCATCAGATACACAGTACATGTTCACTTTCTCATTCTCATGGTCCAGACAGGTAATCCCTCGAAGATGTGTATCTGAAACTGGTTCCACCAGGCGATGGCTGGTGAAGGGTTTCTTGTTGGGGTGTGTGGCCCGAAGGCAGCGGTCACAGTAGGAGACCTCACAGGTGATGCATGTCTTCACAGCATCTCTTGGAGGGTCCTGCTCACAGAATTGGCAAGCAATTCGCTCACTAGACATGGCGGAGGTTGGCCTGTAAGTCCTCTCCCGACGGCTCTCACTTGGAGAATTGGGCCCACTGACTGAAGCCTTCTGGAAGCGATCAATAATGTTCTGCAGGGTCACGTTCCTCTTGAGGCCATCCAGGCCCCGGTGATTCAGCGAGATAACATACCTGCATGTAGGACACTGAAATGCGGTAATGGGTTCGATGGATTCGCCGGAGCTGCAGCTGGAGACCAAGATGCGATGGGCACAGCTGAAACACAGGCTATGAGCACAGGGGAGCAGAAGGGGGTCTTCAAACAACTCGAGGCAGATTGGACAGGTCAATTCAGACTCCAGTGTTTCCATCTTTAGTGAAAATAATCCTGCTGAGGCATTAAGAACCGCAGAGGCTGGGCTTTCACCTGCGAGCAATACAAAGTAAGAGTCATTAAGCATTTCCAAAGGAAAAGTGGTTGTAGAATAATTATATTGTAACCAATGGAGACTTTTGGCCTGATAGGCTCCCCAGGGATGCTTAAGCAATAGGAGTTACCCGGAAATTAATCAGGAAGCCTTTCTACACCTTGTTTTAGACACTTGCCGGAGATTTTTTTCCCCTTCACTAATAAATAGAAGCAAGTGGCCACCTCTGTGTCTTGGTTTCCTGATTAACATTACCATCTCAGCTCACACAATTGGCATGGATCACTCTCTTCTAAATTCTCCACTGACATCTCTTCACCGAGACTGTGATGGGTTGGAGGCCCTACAAATTTCTCAATCCCTATTCTCCAATATTGTTCTCTATTTCATGTCAAGGCAAGATATAAGGGCTGCTCCTAGCTTACATCCAGTGGAAGGAAAACAAGGCCATATTTCAAACTAGCTCTTGCCTTCCTGAAATGATTTTATTCTAAGCATACGCATGAAAAAACTAAAAGCAGACGGCTTTGGGGAAAATGCAGTTTTCAGTGCAGGATAATACGTTTTTCTTCCGAGTGTGAACTTGAATTACTTCATATTACCACATATGGAAATTTGTTTCATCCTATTTCTAGTAAACTGAGTCATTAGAGACAAAAGATAATAGTTTTCCCTTTCCCTTTCTCAAACCCTCACCTTCAAAAACTCTTACATTTCCTCAAGTTGAGTAGTGAAGAATTAGTACCCAACTGCTAACGATGATGGCTTCAGTTTGGATTTGATGTTAAACACTTTCTCAACTAGCACCTGCCTGTTGCAAAGCTCATCCCCCATGCGTGTTTTCATGCTTACTAATACACGATTAGATGCAAATCAAGACCTAGATGGAAATTGGCAAGTTGAACAGCCAGAAACCTTCAGATGTGGTAGCATTCATTTTAGTGTGGACCAGAGAGTACAAGAAATCTCCCAGCTGACAGAACTAACCAGCTTGTCACTTTATGCATTTGCCCACAGGCATTTCAGAGTTGGACATATAGGGATTGATATGAGTCCTCAGCATTCTGTTAGCTCCCACTAAGGACAAATATAAACATGTTTCACTGACTAAAACTGTGGATTCTCTTAATAAGAGAGAGAAGGGCATCTTTTGATTTTGAGTAGTCTTATTCATCTCCCTAGCGCTGGAATCTTCATCAGGACTCCTAAATTTGATTCTTGCACTGGTTTTTGTTCAAATATTGTCATTGATTAGTGATATGCAAGTCGTCTTCTGACAGGAATCACAAGTTCTGGGTACAATTATATCTAGCATTTAAGTACAATAAATGTATACACAAAAGATATTTCTAAATCAATCCTGTTCAATGCACCGGACTAACCAGCTATTTAATGGAACCTCCTACAGTAAACTGTGCTGTAGATGGGAAGGGTTTTCTTTATAAGGCAGATACTCCCAGTTAGTTTAGTAGGTTCAAAGGTTTGTTTAGTTACATTTTTAAAAGGGGACATGTGATATTTTTATTTTACCATTTTCATGTTCTTATAAATATATTCACACATGTTTGTATAGAAATGTTACAATAGGATGCTTTTAGAGAATAAAGATCACAACTTCCACAGAAAAGTAAGACTATTTCCTTAGATAATTTCACCTGATGCCCCTCAGATGCTCAGATTGAACATGGCCACAAATGGACTTATACTCTCTGACCATTCATGAAAAAAAAAAACAACCCCAAACCAAAATATAAAACAACACACACACACACACACACACACACACACACACACAACCATTTCCTCTTTCAGATTTCCCCAAATGATGAATGGTACCATCCAAGCCCAGAACGCGTTTATTATTTCTCTAGAACATTTTCCTTAACATACCTATATTTCCAACTAACTCCTTCCTCTCCTGGAGAGCATCGACAATTTTTTATTTTTATTCCTAGCATGGTGACTGGCACAAAATAGGTATTCAATAATGGCCAATAAAGTATTACTCAAACCAAAAGTAAGAAGGTACATAATATTTATTGATTATTTGACTGCATTCTGAGCACTGTGTTAAGTACTTTGTGTACATTATTCTTACAGGAATGTGGATATAGTATTATTACTAGACCCATCACACACTTAGGAAAATGAGGCTCATAGTCACTAGTAAGTCAACCAGAAACACAAAGCAAAAGCAGAACCCAGTCTCATGCCAAGGTCTGTGCTTTCTCCCCCCACACCTTTACTCTAATCATCTCACCTTCTTCGCTGACGTTATCTTAACTATTTAAGAGGGTTTCTAAATGGCCTGCTTCCACTTCTATTTTTGTCTCTCTGTGTCCCTCTGAGCCTGCCTGCCTCTCTGACTCCTTCCTCTAGGACTATCTCCATCTGACACTACACTTCTACCCCGGCCCCTTCCAGGGCTTCAGGTAGTCCATAATAGCTGTGTTGAAAAACTATTTTGGTTGGTCAGAAGCAATACTGAAAGTCACTTCCACATGTTGACACCTATATAAAATCAGTTAAAGTGTCACAGTTCCTTGCCTTAAGAGGGTGCTGTATAAACACTTCTGTATGGAGAAATGCCTCTTCAATCTCATATGAAACCCTAAAATGTGTTCCAAAATCAATACAACTCTTGAACCTCACTATGAAATAAAGCTTGGGGAAGCACATTCTGGGACACAATTGCCTTATATGAGGTCAAATTAGGAGATTTAACTAGGGGATTCTGGGCCTGCTATAAAATGTCTGCAGAGCATGTGACTGTTGTATGCATTTATTACCTGAAGAGGATTGTTCATAGCTTTCAACAGACTCTCTGAGGTGTCCTTAACAGTAAAGTCTGACATTGAAAACAAACAAATACATCAGAAAGGATAGACAAAGTACAGAAAATTACTAAATAAGCTATACCTTAAATATCTTGTATTATTTTTACAGAATTGCAAGCAGTTAAGGTGGTTACAGAAGACCACTGACGTTAGACTGAAGCTGACCTCCAACATGTGACCTTCCTGCTTCTGCCTCCCAAGTGATGGGATGGTGGGCATGCACTACCATGCCCGGGACTCCATTCTCCTTCATTTTATTAAGACACAGTAACACCCTTTGCCAATTTGAGGGATTGAATAATTTTTGCAAGTTCCTCAAACATCTCTTTGTTCATTTCTCATTTATTAAGGCTTCTGATTATTATTCCTGTTTCGGCATTTCTGCAACTAGCCTCCATTTTCCCCATCCCCATTATTATCTAAGCATTACCATACCTATTACCTTTTTCACAGTTTTCTTAAAAAATAAGTACTAGCATTACAAAAAAGCAATTTGCCCAAGGTCAACTTGCTTGCAAATCACACAGCAAATGTTCAAACTTAGGAAAATAAAAACCTCTAGAAATAAGCCTGTATATTTACAGCCAATCGACAAAGGTTCCAGGATAATTCAGCAAAGAAAGAAAAATCCCAACAAATAGTTCTGGGATAACTTCATCTCCACATGCACAAGAAATGAAGTTAGAAACCTAATTTACAACATACAACAATAATTCAAACTAGGCATGGTGGTGTGTGCCTGTAACCCCAGCCCTTGAGAGGTGGGAGGAGAGGATCATAGTGAGTTCAAGGCCACTAGGGACTACATAGTTGAGATCTTGGGCTACAAAAAAACCCTCAGTCTACAAGATGAATAAATGAAGATGAATCTATCATCTAAGTATAAGAATCAAAAGAGTAAATAAATGCCTTTGAAGAAAAGATTCCTGTGAATCTGAGATGACTTAGATTAAACAACATGATTTTTTAGATCACAGCAAAAGCACAAGCAACCAGTACAGATAAATGCTACTTCATCCAAATTTAAAACTTTAGGGCTATAAAAACCACTACCAGCAGAATGTAAAGGCAAAGAATCTTCCAAAGAAGATAAACAAATAGGCAGAAAACACATAAAAAGATACCCAACATCATTAGCCATTAGGGAAATGCAAAACAAACAAACACACTAGAATAGCTGTAATAATACAAAGCAAACAAACAAAAGAGAAAGCAGCGAGTGTCTGCCAGGATGTGAAGAAATTGAAACGCTCATATATATTGTTGGCACGAATGTAAAATGGTGTAGCTGCTTTGGGAAATAGTTTGGCATTTCCTCTGGAATTAAATGTAAATCTGATCAAGCAATTCCACTCCTAGGTAGGTACTGAATAAAATAAAAAACGTGTTCATTCAAAAGCTCATACACACCAAAGTTCACAGCAGCAATATTCAGAGTCACCATGAATGATCAAAACATGGTTTATTCATAATACAAAATTTTATTTGGCTACAAAAACAAATGGAGTATTGATGGATGCTGCAATATGGATACTACTTTAAAATATACTTCCAAATAAAAGAAGCCAATACAGAAATGTAGTATATTGTGTGATTCCCTTTATATGAAATACCTAGAATAGGGAAACGCATAGCAATAGAAAGCATAATAGCAATCAAGGCCTAGAGGAGGGAAGGAGTGGGTGTGATTACGAATACGTATGGACTTTCTGAGATTTTAACAATGGTCTGGAGCTAGATAATGGGATGGCTACACAAGTTTGTTTGTCTGTTTTTTTTTTTTTTGCTATATTTGAAACCATTAGGCTGCATACTTTAAAATGGTGATGATTATGGTATGTGAACCATATCTCAGTTTTTAAAAAGATAGTCAAACTCAGCATATTATATAGCTACCTACTATAAAGTATTAAAATATTGTAAATTGTGTGCTTATGTAGTACCCATAACTCTACTAGGTGGATTGCTTCTATTTTTTTCAGATAGGGTCTCATGTATCTCAGGAGGCTTTGAACTCACTATGTAGCTAATGGTAACATTGAGCTCCTGATTCTCCTGTTTTACCTGCTTAGTGGTGGAGCTACAGGCCTGCACCACCACCCTTCTTGAAGTTGTTTTCCTAGGTTAATGAGTCCCTGTCTAGATCTACAGAGCTAGTTCCA